CCCCAAAACCCCAAAACCCCAAAACCCCAAAACCCCAAAACCCCAAAACCCCAGGATTCAGGAGGGATATTGAATCGATTACAATTCAGTTTTAGTAATTATTCCATGACCAAGCGTTTGCCCAAATGGAGGCTGAGGCAAAATCCCTCTCTTCTTACTACTTTGGGTTTTTAAGCTAATCCTTTGAGTATGGAGAAGGTTTCTCGCTGAAACTGTTTGACCTATTTGTCTACTTTTTGGTCTTTTTGCTAATTCTTTCTCAAAAATTCCTGCACCAACTCCTTTTTCTTGACCCCAGGCAGCTCCAAATGCGGCCTGATAATCCATCCTGAGATGAGGATTGGTAATTTTAGTAAACAGATCAGTATCCCCAATCCTTTCAGTAAGAGACTTCCGAGAACTTCTCTTTGTGAGTTGCTTCTGGCTGTAGTTATTTACTTAATTTCCTTCTGACACTGCCTCTTGATGCAGTATTTACCCTTGGATTTACTTTGAGATTTGCAGTATTTATTTTTGGTTTATTTAGATTTGCACTTATTTACAGTCTTTGATGAGCCCAAAAATTTAGTATTTTTATCTTGTGTCGTAATCATCCACTTTACTGCCTTTCTATCTACTACCCTGACATGGTTATCACTGCTGATTTTAGTCAATAATCGATCTGGCTGGGTGTGAAAAATAGGATCAATCTCATCAAAATCAGGCATTTTCTGCGCTCCAGTAAGTTCTTCTAAATCATCGATACTCACATCTTTTGGTACAGAAGACTATATTATTAAAGATTAAACTTACTCTACCATCATTGGAGCTACTCTTAATAGAACCTCTGAACGGTTGAGACTTCCTTCTTTTCCCATTCTGGGCCATAGTAACACCCATTTGTGGTTTCATAAGATCATAATTCCCATTCCTCTCATATTCAAACTTCGGAGGGATCTGAGTTGCCGCAAAGCTAGGTGGCAATTTATATAATTTCTCAGCTTTAGGCTTTGTTTTCGCATTATCTTTTGCAAACATCCTCCTAGCTGCCTCCTTATTATTTCTTCTCCTTCTTCTCTATCTCAATCATTTCTTGATCAGTCAAGTGCCATTTATACGGTAAATTAATGGTATTTTTCGGTAATTTATCTCCGTTAAGCTTCTTCACAAACAGAAGGTTCCCATCATAGTCGTAAGTATACTTCTTCTTCGCTAATTCCTTATTTCTCTCAATCATTTGGCGTCTAAGGAGCTTATTTTAATCTTTTTTCTCTCTCTTTTCTTTCATTTTCTTCATGAATTCTCTTATTTCTCCTCAAGCAAGCGTGCTTTCATAGCCATGGTGTGTTCGTTCAGATTTAAAGTCTCTTCGATAGCGATGCCAACAGCTGTAGGTTTCTTCTTGCCTTGTTTTAAGTGAGTAGCTCGCTTATGCAAGGACATCTTCTTCTGGTCATTTTCAGGGAATATTTCTGCCTGGGCTGGCTCTGAGATTAAGATGCATGATGGGTCCTTGTGAGGGAGGTTGAACCCTGCTTGTCTGTCTATAAGTGCTGGCTTAGGCTCTTCATCTGACTCTTCTGTTAGTAGAGGATGCAAGTGGTGTCCTTCAGATGAGATCTGTATTTTTCTGGCAATTCCTGAAGCTCACATCTGAGAAGAAAATACCTGCTGTCTGTCTGGATTATAATCAATATTGAGGTTGTATGGAGTGTAAGTAACAGTGATTTGCTCTTTCAAATGATATAAGAATAATTCTATCCCATACGGATCGATAAACTGGTCCATTTCTCTACTATACGCAAGCAAATTGGTTCTTCTCATGATTTTTTCAACCATGGAAACACCCATAAACAAGTCTTCCCTGAAAGCCATGGCTTTCTTTGTGAATTTACTAGTCTTTGGCTTTTGAAAATCTGGGTCAAAGTACATAATTTCTTATAACTTCAATAAAATTAAAATATTTAGGGGTTTTGGGGTTTTGGGGTTTTGGGGTTTTGGGG